TACTTGATAGTTATGTTGTTAATTGCACGACTATCAATACACATCCTCCACGTTCCCTCTTTCTTTGGAACCAATAATGCCGGAACTGCACACGGACTAAGGCTTTCACGCACAAAGCCTTTTTCCATCAACTCCTCTACTTGCCTTTGCAATTCCTTTGCTTGCTCGGGATTGCAACGGTAGGCTGGTGTGTTAGGAAAAGCCGCATATGGCACCAAGTCAATCGCATGTTCAATGCCTCAAATTGGAGGTAATTCATTAGGCAACTCATCAGGAAAAACATCATGAAATTCTTCCAATAGCGGAATGAATTTTAGGGGGATAATTTCCTTCATCCAATTTCTCCGAAATGGGTTTCACTATCAACACGAGCACTACTCCTTCCTTCTCATGAGTTTCCTCAAATTCTTATTTCGAAATGAGAAAATTAGGTTTTTCTTCTTTCGCCTTCTCTACCTTAGGTGGTAAAGGTAGTAGCTTCACCTTCTTTCCCTCACTAGTTTTGACCGTATACACACTGGTTACACCGTCGTGTATAGTCTTACGATCAAACTGCCATGGACGGCTTAGAAGAATTTGACATGCCGTCATAGGTAGCACATCACACCATCTTTCATCACAAAAAGTTACCCACGGTAAAAGCAACCAACACTTGCTTCCTCACACGCACGCCCGAGTCATTATCAAGCCAATTGAGCTTGTATGATTTGGCGTGTTCTCGAGTAGGTAGTTTGAGTTTGTTCACCAACTCCGTAGCAACCACATCCGTACATGACCCACTATCAATTATCATGCTACAAATGCGATCTTTCACCTTGCAACGGGTATTAAATAGATTTTCCTGTTGTTGCAGATCCTGTACTGGTTCAGTGTACAAGATTCTTCTCACCACACCACAGATTGAATTTTCACCTTCCTCAGCAACATATTCCACATATTCATTATCCTCCTTCTCTTCTTCATTTGTCACATAACCACCTTCATGGATGGTTAGTGTGTTTTGTTTAGGACAATGGGTAGCAATGTGTCCATTCTGACCACACTTGAAACAAGTGCGCATACTAGTGCCATCCACCTTTTTCTCCGGCTTCTTAGGAAATGTAGAAGATTTCCCTTTGTCAAACTTATTGGTAGAAGTATAAGATTTGTAAGGAGTACGGGGTGTACTCTTCACATGGTGCTCCTTATGTTGTGCCTCTACCTTGCGCACTGCCTTCACTACTTCGTCATAGGTGGTGTATGGCAAGAGGTCCACCTTGTTGGCTATGCTCTTGGCAAGGCCTCTAATGAAATGAGCCATCTTCAATGGTTCTGTTTCTTCCAAGTCACACAAAAGACTAAGTCTTTCAAACTCCTTCACATACTCGTCTATAGTCAAGTCATCTTGGTTAAGACGAGTCAACTTGACATACTAATCTTGCACGTATTCCCTAGGAATCCAACGTTGCACCATTTTTCTCTTCAAGGCTGCTCAAGAAGTAATTTTCTCCTTGCCAGCATGTCTTCTCTTGGATTTGAGGTTTTCGTACCACAATCCAGCTAGCTTAGTGAGCTTGAGTGTTGCCAGTTTACAACACTTCTTATCATCATTATCCTTGTATTCGAAGATTGGCTCAATCCTTCGAACCCATTCATTGAAAACTTTAGGGTCACTAGAACCATTAAATTCAGGGATGTCTAGTTTCAGGAACCGATCCTCCTGATTAGGGTGGAAACGGTTATGCTCACTTTTGAGGGTTGGTCCACCTTCTTCCAACTCGGACAATCTACGATTGTGTTGATTGGTGGCGTCAACTATCACACTCATTTGGGTGCGTACATCATGCAACTCCTCACGCATGGCTTGCAACTCAGTCATGAGTTTTTGTTGGATCTCACGCATGCCATCATTCTGGTTTTGGTTGGAAGTCATGGTCACATTGTGGTCTAGACCGTGGCACTGATACCAACTGATGTGAAAACTAAGGTTAGGTTGGGTTGTTTCGGTTACTAGGCTAAGTGTTTAGCTAGGGTGTTTAGGCGGGTTAGTGTTTAGGTTAGTGTTTCAGTTTAGTGTTTAGGCTAAGGGAAACAACTAGCTCACGTAAATGAACTAGCTTGGGGATAACCGTAGCTAGAGTTGAACACTCACTCTACTAGACACGAAACAAGCTCACTCAAAATACTATGAGTAAAGCTCACAAATCCGAGTCCACGAGTTCAAGTAACTTAAGTCCACAAGTTAAAACAAGAAATAACACAAGGTATATTTCAAATTTGTTGTATTTCTTTCAAGGTAAGTTTATCATACAAACTAGCTTCAACTTCCTTTTATAGCATAAGGAAGTGACTTACATTAATAAAGTACTTAGCTATACTAATTATCTAACTTAAAGAGCACACCAAGAGCCGTCACTTGAGAAACTTTTTATGTGTAACGGTTCCCATAGAAACGTTGCACGTTGAAGGCTTTCAATTAGCTGCAAACGCCGACTGTTAGCTGCAATTAATAGGCAGCGGTTCTTAAGGAAAACCGCTGCAAATTTCCTTGAATAGGCAGCGGTTATGGCGAAAACCGCTGCAAATTCGGCCCAGCTCTCCCCATTTCAACGGTTGGCAGTTACACCTTTTTATTACAGCAATTAACTTAGCTAATTAACTCTAATAAACTGAAATTTAAACAGCTACTTAAATAAGGAATACAAGGCAAATTATTACATCAATTACACACCAAAAATGGCGCCCAACAAGAGTGTAACTCCTCATTAAGAAGCCCATAACTTGCGTGTAACCTCCTTGCTTCAATGCCTTGTCTAATGCCTTCAATTCTTGCGTGTGGACTGATTAGGAAAAAAAAGTATATTCCTTCTCTATGCTAGGCTTACACGAACAAGAATCCAATGCCAAATGCCTTGCTTAATCCTCCATCCAACTCACGCAAGACTTGAACAAAGATGGAGCTATGTTGAGGCCTACGCGTGGAACTTGGTTAAGTTTGGACCCATCAATGAATAGGCCATGGACAATAGGAACTTGACTTTCTTTGACCCTTGAACTTGTGTTTTGACTCTTTGAACCATTAGGCTCATTAGGTTGCACAAGGTCTTGATCAAGGACCAATTCTGAATCAATATGGGTACCATCTAAAGCTCCGACACAATCCTAAGAATGAATTTTTTTTTTTTTAATATAACAACGATAAAAATGTAGCATGCATATGCTAGGATAAACATTCTCACTAATTAAATACATTATAATTGTTAACTTGAAAAATGGCCAATATAATTAATATTTTTTTTTTTAATTTTATTTCAAGTGGCGTTTCATTGAAACTCTAATATGGTCGAATAATATCACAAGATAATGAAACTAAAGCTTTCAACACTGCTCTAAAGTAGATAGAAATGGTTGATATTGAATGTTGGAATCTCTCCGCAGCATCACGATATGAATTAGCTTTAGCCATCATGAATAGACATAAACTGACTTGCTCTTCCATGTGTATAAATCGGCCATCAGATAATAGTTCTTTTCCTCTTAATACATCAACAAAGTTTATGAAGATATCTTTATCAACCCATAATTATGCTCTTTGCGCAAATTAGGATTTCAGTCAATAACTTATGTATCCACTCACTTCCAGGTTCACCCCCTACATGTAGAGGCATTCGTTCTATTTGAGTAAGTAATCTCTTCAACTCTTGCAAGGCAATATACATCATACAATTTTGGTGCAATGTTTCGTCCATTCTACAAATCAAAATAAAAAATAATTTCTCAAAAAAGAATAAAAATAAAATAACAAATATGTAATTAATAATATGTAACTCTTCATACTTGTCTTTGAAACATAATAAAATAGAGTTTCACAAATCACAATAAAAACAGATTTATCAAAATAAATTAGTTACCAAAATTTAACTTATTCCATATTCAAAAAAATGAAACTTACACACCCAAACTTTAAAATAACATGTGCTAAGCATCTTAGAAGACTTATGATAGTTTAATAATCATCATCCATGCTATCATTGACTAGGCCTATAACAATCATTTGGGAATGAGATTTTTTTTCTTCAAATACATGATTCTAAACTCACTGTCTAGAATGGACAAAAAAATCACTTTAATCAGGATCACGTAAGAACTCTAACACTAGAAGAATAAAAGACTTTCCGTATTGCTAACTGCTGGCATTCCTTCCAGTATTGAAATCATTTTTTCACATTTTGATGGATATGGTCTAGATTGTGTCTTAGAGGAACCAAATTGCATGTTTCTTTTCAAATAATCCATGCAAATTTCAATGTTATCTTTCACACTCTTTCTACTAGAGGTAGCACCGCAATCTGAACTCTTACTTTTGTTAGAAGATATGCTCTTGGGAGGGGACTTACTTTTGTAACCTAACCTTTTATTTTTGTTTTTTTTTTCCTTGAAGAATGAAAAATGTTGTAATTTTAAATGGGATGTACCAAGTATACCTTAGAAATTTTAGGATGAGAATAAGAAGGCCAACATCCACTTGCCTTACCCTATTGACATCCTTATTTGGAATTAGGTAAATATTTTGGGTAAATGAGAACAATTGCACCGAAAGTAATTGAAACATAATCAACAAAGGAGAACACCTAACATCATAAATGTAACCATATTTTAAAAATGAAGGGAGTAATATGTATGTGTATATATCAAACCTCTCTGAACCTACTTTAAAGTAAGAACTTTTAATACATATATATTGGAAACATTAATTTTAATTATTATTGACTTTGAACCCAAAACCATCGAAAATATGTTTGTGATTAGGAGTGTCAGTTCACGTGTTTAGGTCTGGTTTAGCAAGATCAGACCGGATCGAAACCAATCTATTTTAAAAAACTTAAATTCTGCTAATTTATTAGGTCTATACAAGTCAAAATCTAAATTTGATTTTTTCATATCGATTTCGAGTCAAGTCGATCAAAGACACCTCTCTGATTATGGTAAACAAACCGTGGACCTCACCAACACAAGTGAAAAGAAAAGAAAAGAAAAATGAAATTCCAATTCCACAATTGCAATTCCCTTGGTTTTTGAGATAGAAAAGTGTAGAACCCATGACGACCTCGGCTTTTCTGGGGGAAAAACCATTGTTATCAGCTCATCATCGAATACGGGCGGTTCATACTCCTGTTATCCACCCTTCATCTTCTACTTCTATGGCAACACCTTCTCCTAAATGGGCTCAAAAAACCATCACTCTCTCTCCTCACCCTCGTGGCTGTCATCTCATCACTTCCAAGGTTATTTGTTTTTTAATTTTGGATTTTTTTTCGCTCCATTTCCTGCTAATTCACTTTTCTAGCTCAACTAATTGTTGGAATTGGTGATATTTCATCTGATTTTTTTATTTGATTTGCAGAAATATGTTTTCTTATTAATGTCTGATTGAGCATAAATTGGTTTATTTTAGTAGAAAATTATCTTTATTTACATGCATTTATCAAAAATAAAAATTATATTTATTTTTTATTTTCATTATTTTTTGTGCGATTATATGAAGCATATTACCGTTTGTTTTATATAGATTGAATTAATTAGGTTTAAATCTTTATTATCCCCGTTGTTTTGCTTATTAAGCTATGTTTTCATTAGTTATCCATGGGAATTAGAGTTATATTGGGGTGTTTCGGGTGCATATAGTTACCTCAAGAATGGCAAACTCTGTGTGTTTTGGGATGTTTTATTTGCGACCAATGATCCCTAATAGACTTTATTATACACTCGCTAAAAGTTAACTTCTTGCATGTATTGAGAAACGGAGGAAGTACCATTTTTTTTGCGGATGTTTAATGAATGACTGATAAGGCTAGAAGCTTGTGGTTATTTAAATGGGGGTAAATGATGCTGGATAGTGTCATAATAGGTGATTGTCATAATCGGATATCCCAGTACTTGCACTCAGTTAGGATCTTCACATCCTTATTCAGGTATGCTTGAGAACCTCTCTTGCTCGTGTTAGATAAGCACTTTTTGCTAGTCATATTCTGCTGATTGTCTAATTTTTTCACTAGACTATAAGTGCCTAGTAGATTGGATGTTTCTCTAAATTGATTGCATTACACTTATATCATTGAAGTTTTTGCGTTACAACAAAGATTGTAACAGCAATCTGTAAGGCTTACTTTCTGTTTTTAGTGCTTTAGCTAATGTCTCCACTACCTGCACATACCATACACAATACTTGTTAACTTGTAAGAAATAATTCACTTCATAAAGCTTGAGAAATTACTTCTTTCAGCAATTAGTTGTAGGATTTAACCTGTTGTAAATACGCAGCCCAAAATCGATGCTTGGCCCTTAGGTAGGGATCCTTAGGGAGGAGATGCGGGGGATCAGCCCAAGCCTCATCCATATACATACTCGAGGATGATCATTGACTCCGTAACAGGTAGTCCATTGTGCACAAGAACAGGCACTTTCTTACGGACAGGATTATATTGCAAGGGCAACTCACTTTTGTTTTGTAGATCTTCCTCAACATACTCAAACTCTATGCCTTTAATTTTGAGGGCAAGTTTGGCTCGCAAAACATAAGGACTTGCCCATAATCCATGTAGCTTTACTGAACTCTCTTCCTCCATTACACCTATTTTATTAAAGATTTAGCGAGGATTGGATGAGGCTGGAAGGGCAAATATGAAGTTGTAATCGATCTTAATTTTTAATTGATATTATCTCTAGAAGTGTTACATGTTAGTATGTCATGTGTCTTGATTCTTTATGGTATATTGTATTATCCCCTCCACCATTTCCCTTCATTTCACTATATTTCTACATTGGAAACTTATAGTCATAACTTTTTTAATGTTTAAATCAGGTTATGAAGGAAATTGGGGAAGACTTGTCTGGCTTCAATTGTGGGCTTGCTCATCTTTTCTGTAAGGGATCCATTCTATATTCGGAAAACTTGCTGTTTATTAGTTGAAATTGCATTTTTTAAAGTTAATCTGCTTGTTTGTTCCTAGTGCAACATACTAGTGCTTCTCTGACCATAAATGAAAATTACGATGATGATGTTCGAAAAGACACTGAGACATTTCTTAACAAAGTGGTTCCGGAGGTCAGTATTCATAAGAAAATATTAACAAGCTCCAATTTCCATATTGACAGATTGTCTTATCTATTTTTAAATAATTTTTCAGGGTAGTTCTGCGCCATGGAGGCACACATTGGAAGGTTGGAATCTCGATTGACTGAAAATTTATTATGTTCGAGCTGTCTAGTTTTTCTTTCTCTCAGTGAGCAATTTGCAATTTTGCATAAATATTATCTTGGGAGTGTCCGTTGCATCACTACAAAGTTAGTCTTTGTATAAGGGTGTTGATATACTAATCATTAGCAGGTCTATTGGTTTCCTGTTAAACCTATCATGAATTATATGTATTCTCCTGCTTGTAGAACCTGATAACTGGGTTGGAAGCCATTGCTATCAAATATGTCAGTCTGTCAGAAAAAGATCATGTGAGGCTGAGTAGATGTTTTCGGTGACAGCTAGTCCCCCTTGAGTTAGAAAAAGATTCGATATTATAAACAAGGCCTAGGCTTGAATGAGATCACCACTTGTTAGGTTGCTTCCTACAGAAGCTCTATCAATTGCTGTTTTGCGATTCCCTGATCTAATTTACTACACTGCATTCTTTCAAATCCCAATTCTTTGTTTCCAGTGTCCTTTGACCTCTTGTTTTTTATCAGACCTGTGATGATTATAATTAAACACATCTCATCTCTTATTAACAGCTTATGTTCTGTCTAGGTTATTGTTTTTTATGTTATTTATTTATTTATTTTATTTTTAATTCATCATGTTTACAGTTTGTTTGTTTGAGTTTTTCAAATTTAATTTGAACTTGAATGACCTAATATCTACTGCGACAACTTTTCCGTTGTTTGTAACTAGATGATAAACTGCTGCCTGTGAACTTGGAAGCAAATTTCTGTTATACATAAAATTAGAATGTCAAACATGTTCCCATATGCGCCTTAAATACATGGTTGCTTTGTGCTATAATTTTATTTATTTATTTTTTGCTGTAGGACCTGATGACATGCCTGCACATATCAAGTCATCAATGTTCGGCTGTGCATTGACGTACATATTCCCATACTCTGAGTTTGATTTGTTTGAATAAGTCCTTACAAAGTTATTGTTTGTGGTTTCTTATACCTTATTCTTTTCCTTTTTAGGATTCCAATCACTAATGGAAAGCTTAACATGGGAACCTGGCAGGTAATTGTGATTATAATCAAGACGCTGCATAATTTTTCTACAGTTTTAACTTGAACACTAAGTTTTTAACACACCGACCTGTTTTAGTTCCCCGGTTTGACCAAAGTGGCACTAAGTTTTAAGGTGTGTTGAATGAAATAAAATATTGTGTAAGAGATGGGAGAGGAGAAAAATAAATTTTGTTCTTTGATTAGAGGCTATAGCCGTTCTTTGCACTCATCATGCTACTTAGAAATTGAAATTAGTTTTTTGTTGTATTCATGAGGTTGGGTTTTGGAAAAAGAAAACTAGCTACTAAGCCAAGCAAGCTTCTAATATTTTAATGTCCTTTCAGCTCAATGTATTATTAGTGACCTAAGAAAAAAGACAATAACATTGGATAAAGTTGTCTTAAGCAGCTAGTTATTTCTGGTATAGTTGTAAATCAGCATTAAACAAACGCTTGCTTAGTTTTTTTTTCTTTAGCCCTATTAATAATTGGCCAACAGTGTACAGAGCTTTTGGTGGTTGTTGTAGGACAGTATTATAAAGATAGATCTTGTATTGCTAACTATTAGATTGGAAACTTATCTCCATCCTAAACTATGACTAGTTATAATTGATACCACATTAGCAACAATAGTTCTGAGCTATTGGCTATTTGTGCTCCAAAGCATTTAATGTCATTTCCTTTTTGTTGATTTCCCTCAATGAGAATATGTAATAGGGAGTGCATACTATATTTTTCTGTCCATGTAGGATTTGCATGTGACTTGCTAAAAGCCATCTTGTTACTCCTTGAGCCTTGTACTCATTATTTGCTGCTTGTGACCCAGGGAATATGGCTGTGTGAACACCGTGATTATCCAACCCCGCGCAAAGTAGTAGTTACACTTAATGGGATGTAGTTGACATCTCAGATTCGTATATTGCTCGAGCTTCAATTACTGCATATGCCATATAGGGCTTTTGCTGATGGACAGAACTCTTAAATGATGGGCTATAATGTATGTTTCAGACACATTTGCACCCCATGTCCATCAATTGTAAATTGTTATAATAAGTCATTATTAGTCCAAGTGTTTTTTTGTGTTCCATATACACCAATTACTTTCGAATTACAACTTATGCTTAAATCATGCTGGAAATCTGCGTGGAATGTTGCAGTTCATCTTTAAATGTATATGAATTTTTTTTCCCTGCTGTGTATATGACGCAATCTGCATTCATTCGGAAAGTTGCAGCTCATCTTTAATGTATAAGAATTTTTTTTCCTGCTGTGTATATTGCGCATTCTGCATTCATATGCCCATAACTTGCTGCGTGAAGTTCAGCCATGTGCGTTCATGTGCTTGGCAGGCCTGGTGCATCAAGCATGATGTTCGCTGCAGCCGTGAATGCATGCATTGATGTGTGATTAAGCTTCAGACTGTACAGATGCATGGTGCAACTACTGAACTACAGATGCATTGATTTTTAGTTTTGAAAGATAAGAAGGGATAGTAAACAAACACAATTCTCTTTCAACTTCTGAAGGCTAAACTTTATCCTAGTTTCTAGGCTAGGAAGCCAAGGTTAAGTTTAATTACTCATAGCGTTGATTAAATTAAAACTATTCCTTCTATGTTCTCTATTAATTGCAACGTGTGGTATTTCATGATTGACTATACACATGATATATCATCAACATCTTAGATTATTTTTAATAAAAAATTAAAAAGTTGATATTTTGAAAGACTAAAATTGTTTATAAACGACCTTTACCACCCGACTTAAATTAAAACTGTATAAACATAAATCGAAAATCAAACTAGCATATTAATAATAAGAATGAAACCAACCCAACTCGTGAGCCAAATGAATGCGTTTTAAACCTACTCATTTCAACCCTAAAGAAAATTGACACTGGCACACTGCTAGTGAGTGAGATCTTATAAAGAGATTAACCACCCCCAAGGGTATACCTTGGACTACAGGCACTCTAGACCCTTAAAAATAGTGTCATTTGCTTTTTGCAATATTTGCACCAATATAAACCTTTGAATATTCTTAATAACATGGGACTGTAAATCAACATGACCAATGAGGAAACTTAAAGCACTTTATTATATCATAAATGTTCCAAAGTAAATATGCTGAACATAAAACTATGAAGATACCATGATTGTTACAAGCCCTAACAAGCGCCCCATGAAGGAGACGACATTTTCAAATTTAAGATCTATTTCCGGAGGAGCAATTCATCTACTCAATCTACTATGCATTAGTAGGCGTATCAGTTGGCAAGGAAGGATCTCAACCTGGAGGCTTGATGTTTGGCCAATCTCCACGACATCCTAGTCTTATATATAGACTCTTTTTACCTAAGAAAAAAGATAATTCAAATAAAACAAGACATGGTTAAATTTGTCGCTTCAAATTAGCCTCAAACAACTAACCTAATTTTGCCCATTATTATAGCATAAAGAAGAAATGTGTATAGCATTGGCACAATTGTCCTAGATTTAAGTTCAAGAAGTGATCAGTGTCACTGAAAAAAGCATATGTTCCTGTCATTATCCAAGGTGAAATTATCTTTAACAACCAAGTCAGGGTAAAAGAGAAAGAACATTGCAATTTCGAACGACATTGAATTCATTGAATGTTTTTCAATATCCATTCTAGATCAATGTTAACAAAATTCATCATCTCCTAATTAAGTTGCCAAATTTTTTTTTAATTTCATCCCAATCTAGTATTCCCAAACCATATGATGTTAACATTTTCACAACTTTCGGAAAACATATTTCTTACCCTATTTAGTTTGAATATTGCTAACAATAAGAAAATTATAGGAAAATACACACACACCTAGAAAGAAAAAAAAATTGTCAAGCCTACCCACAAACTATAAAGCCATAAATTTTAAGATAACATATAATCCCAATACTTGTATGATTATGTCAATTAGATAAGAGAAACATGTCAAGATTAAGGCCTTCTATATAAGTATGTTATGATTATCCACAAGCCATATAGCCTATACATCAGAGGAAAGACCCAAAGGTAGATTAAGTCGAACAACGATTGAGAGAAAGTCTACAAGTGTTAATTGCTTCAACACCTAAGTACTCACAAAACCATCTTCATCTTTGCCATATGGTTTCTTTGGAAAAGAAGAAACAAATGGGTGTGTAAAAAAGAAAACACCCCCTCTCTGTCAGCAAAAAACCAATGTATTTGGGCTGCATCTGAATGGTTCTTCTCCACCGGAAAACCAGCAGACTCCCTAAAGCCCAAGCCCACAACACCAGTTGAAACTTGGAAACCACCACCACCTCAAACCATCAAAATAAACACTGATGCTTCATTCTTAAGCAAAACACAGGAAATAGGCTTTGCTTGTATATGCAGGAATCATGAACTGGATATGTGGAATGGCAAAAAAAAATTTGGTTGCTCAGCAGCAGAAGGAGAATTACAAGCCATCACAATGGCGTTCAAAACTATTGTAAGTAACCAATGGGAGCATTGCATTGTGTCTACTGACTGTAAACATGTAGTGGAGTTAATCAATAACAAAGCCTTTCAGGAAAATAATCAATTAACTACTCTACTGAAAACATGCAGGCAACTCCTGGACCAGCAGTCAGGTACAAGCCTTCAGTTTGAGCAAAGGAATGGTAACAGGGCTGCGGATGCTTTAGCAAGGGAAGCAAGGAAAGGGAATGATCTTTTGTACAAGCTGAATGTTTTTAACTCCCCACCCCTGGTTTGTAGAAGTATTATTTTGAAAGAGATACTCAAAACTCGTTCTGTTGTCTGTAATGATGGTAATGATGGTCATATACCACCTACCCAAAACGCTAGAAACTATGATGTAAGTATGTAACTTATTTGAACCTCCCTTAATTTAATCGTTCCCTTTCTACCAAAAAAAAAAAAAAAAAAAAAAAAAAAAAAAAAAAAAAAAAAAAAACGGGAGCAAATCTTCAAAACAAAACATAACACTCTAAATAGGTTTTTAACCTCATCATATGATATTGGCTAATACACTAATATGACTTCCTCAATCCTTTGTGAGCAAACACCACCACTCTTTTAGTCACACAAAGCCATAGAAGTTCCAATGGTGAAATTTTGAAGTGGGATGAAACATAAATTCTATCTCTAATGGTAAGAGGGAGCACGATAAGGTGAACTGCTCATCCTACACCAAGTTGTTATTATGGGGAGAAATGAGGAGGCAACGCCAAATCAAAGCTCACATTTAGTAGGGGTATCATCTATTGTGAATGTGAACTTGAATCTGAAGGTTAACCAAAGCAGTGTTATGAGTATTTCGAAACCCAGCTCTGTAGAAGTTATAATAAATGAACACCCCTTCATGTCCCCAAAACAAACGCTCACTACTTGTTTATTTCTTTTTGTAAGAAAAACCTGAGTGTAGTTCCAAGCAAAGATACTAATGACAAAATGAAGTTAATTACTACTAAGTCTCAGAGCTGAGAAATTGTTTAAGGCAGAAAGAGTAATATAACTCATGCAAGCATTGTTGTTTGATCAGATAGAAAAACTCAACAAGGTCAATCATCTCTTGATGACAGTGTACATTTGTAAATCAACTGAAACAAGCAATAGTTAAGATGACACATACCTGGGAGCTTTTTATCAGATAAAATTAGCTGTTTTAAAGCACTCAAGGAAGCCTGGGCCACAGCTTTGGCATAACAAGCATCCCAACGTGTCAAACTTGACAACTACATCTGCTTTTGAATAAGATTCAGAGCCTTCATAGACTTGCTTTTTTGCCTCTTCTTTGGCTGAATATTCATCTGCATTTATGGTCAGACAAAATTAGATATAGAGTTGATAAAGTGTAATCTCAGACACCAACCCATGTGCATTGGTTATAATCCCAGTAACAAGCTATTCTTCGAATTTCTAATCTTGATTCTCAGCCTCCTATACACACATAGTGTAATACAACGAAAGTTGGATTTGTTATAAGCTATTTATGTTGGTATTAGGAGCATTTTTATTATGTATTTGTGGGTTGAAGAAACGAAGGGTAAAAAGGTTGCAGGGCAAGAGAAGAGGGTGGTCAGACATCTGCTCTCCAATTATACTGGTCACAACAGCTGACTTGTCAAAAAATAAATAAAAATACAAGGACACTTTTTTTCTGCTTCCATATGATACTGAGTAGATTCATTTGAGGTAGACACCAGAACTAAAATTGGCATACCCTTAATTTAAGCCTGATTATAGAAGTTTGAATAGCTGTCAGGTCTGAATGAGGTAATTGCAGTGCAAATAGTACGTGAAACTTTGAGCAAAGACTTAGCTATCTTGAAATTCAATCAAGCAAGGTTGTGTAGCCAACTTAAAAAAAACAATGCCAGCAAAACAAAATAAGTAAATACAGTAAATTATTTATTAAAAAAAAAAACACATGAATCTATATCATCAGATTGAGTGAATGACTTTTTATATGAGAGCATTAATTTGTATTTAATAAAGAACCCTCCTCATAGACCTTACATATTAAAATAATATGAATAAAGCACATTCATTTCTATAAAATTTGGAGCAATTGGAGAGCTGATTCACTCATCAGAATGTCTGCAGAATGCCAAGATAATCTCTAGGTTGTCTCAAAGTTTGACAATTCAAACCACAATAAAAAAAAATAAAAAAAGCTACACCAAAGGTCGAGTCCATCAGCTAGTTTAAAACATAACCGAGAGAATCCCTAGCCTCCATGTCAAAAGCATGTAATGACTTGGATGGAAGGAGTCAATTTGACGTGAGTTAAGTGGCATTGTAAAAGCAAGTAGGAATGCAGATAAAAGTGAAATAAATGCAGAGGATCTGTGCAGATGACCACAGGAGATATATACTTGGGTCACGCTGCTGACCCATCCATTTTGGAATAATGCTTTGACGTTTTTGAATTCAAATTTCAGATTGAAGTACCTGTTGCTGCAGATTGTGACAACCAGACTGTAAATCCTGCATAAAGATGCCGCCATTTGTCTGCTCTTCCAGCAGCTCCATGCTTGCCTCCTAATGTTGCAACAACGGCTCGAACATGGCTGTGCAACCATGAAATCATAAAGAGGAGCTTCCTACAAATATAAAACATAACAAAGAGGTCTTGCTTATGTTTGAACTTTACCTACTTAGACTCTCTAAAACTGCTGCCTCTGCTTCTGCCACAGCATCAGATCCGTCTGTATTCACCCCTGGATTGGAAAGCAGATATTGATTCACTGCTAGATCAGGATAATGT